GCAGAGGAAGGTGACACACCTCTGTGCTCTTGTCTAGTTTGTGGATGGGTTGCGGCTTGCCGAGAGGCAAGGACTCTCTGTATTTGGAACAAAAGCAGCCCAAAGATTGAGCTTAACACCAGCTTCACAGTACATAATTTATATTAGTACTAAAGCCACACTATTGAGTTATAATAGGCTGCTTATTTAATTTAATCTGCATAATTGTTAATGCCAGACCTCTCAGATGTTAGGATGTCTACCCTCACAGAAACCCGTCCTAGAGAGCGTGTTTTGTGTAGCCTTGAGCCTGATATTTACGTCTAATCGTATTCTATTTCATTAGAGTGGCAGAACCCATGTAACTAGGGTGAAATTCAGTTCAGCTGCACGGCTAAGTTGATTAACATCTCTTGTGTAAACCATCTGGACTAACATCTGTTGACAGAGGTCTGGGCCAGCTGCAGTAAAACTTTACTCTGACATCAGAAACGGGCAGTGTTGAGCCCTAAAATACATCCTCGCCATTTATTCAAGACAGTTTCCAGTGAAGTAATGGGATCTGATCTAATTCTGTGTACTGTGTAAGTATGAAATTATGCTTTTTTTTTTCTTTAATGTTACATCTGACACTTCTGTTTTTGATCCGTGCGTTTTGCTCTTCCTAAAATGTGAGCTACCTCATGAAGGAAGCATCGGGGGTTTTAACACAGGAAGACTGTCTTGTTCTGCTTTTGGCGGTTCAGCGTAGGGGAAGCTTTGACCACCTGTCTGTTCATTTTTCAAATTGCAGGTTTTCTTTTTGTGTAAATACAAACTTTTTTGTTGTTGTTGGTTTTTCTTTATGGATGTTTCTATCCCACCACTTAGGGTTAAGATTCACAGAGAGGCTTTAGCTGGAGGGTAAGTTTGGTAGCCGATGGCTTTGCTTACTATAACAACCAGAATATCTCTTGAATACCATACTTTGTAAAGTACATCAAGTTAAATTAAAAAGAAATCATGAAAATGCATTGCCTCCAAAGATATTGTATATATTTTTACTTAAAAAATGCCCATTTGTGCAAACTGCACTTTGAACTACTCGGCTAGCTTGTTAATAGTCGGCTTAATGTCTTAGTGATGTAAGATATTTTTTAGGAACCAAACTTCACACGTACTACCTTCCCTATCCTCTCGTCTTCCCCTGCAAAATGCGCCATCCGGAATCCAAACTCGATGCGTCTTAGATTGTTCCTGGCCACATCTTCTTTTTGCTTCCACTTTCTGGCTCAGCTTGTTTTAGGAAATTGACACATCACCAGTCAAAAAATAGATTAGATTCATATGTCTTAGAGACATCAGAGGGGTCTGTCCTCTATTCCTTAGAGCAACAGATCCAGTAGAAATGACCAAGATAGCGACTGAGGCGTCAACTTACCACAAAACAGAGGTTGTATGGTAAAGGAGTCTGCATGGATGAGGGGTTAGAGCTTATCTGCTTGCAGGAAGCATCCTGATTGGATCCCAAACTGCTTCTAAGATTTAATTTTTGTGTTATTTTTGTTTTATTTGTAGTTTGACAAATTGAAGAATGGGGATTCATGATTTGGGTGATGTTTAATTCACCAAACAATTAGCAGGTCACAATAGTCATCCTCTATTCGGTACAAACTGAGTAGATCCCATCAACTATAACAGAAACCTCAGTTGCATCTCAAAGACCGTTAGTGGAAGTTTCTAACAACTTCAGTCTTTTTTCACACATCCTTAATGGGGTGTTGTGTGTAGAAATTTAAAGGAAGTGGTCAATACCTTTTTAGAAAAGGGCGGTAATATTATTAAAGGTGAAGGAACTGCAGATGTGTGAAAACTTTCCTGATAAACTCTTAAGTTCAGCTTTCTCTCAGATATTAAGAAATATCTGCAATTTTAATAATCGTTTATTTAAACCAAATACACTTTTATATACACCCTCTCTCACTTTTATACACTTTTAGAAAGTGCAGACATGTTTGGGCACATCTTGGTTTTCTTAGCGGCTATGAAACGGTGACTTATTAAATCCTAAGTAAAGCTTGATATGGGCTTTACTACTGTGAACAGAGTGCTGTGCTGTGTCCATAATGAAACTGAGAGGAATGCACCCTGGCCTCTGCACCCAGAAAGGACTCTTTGCTGTGACACCCAGTCAGCTGGCATGTTAGCCATGATAAATACGCCAAAGCTAAGGCGGTCTAAGTGAACATGTCTCCGTTCTGTCTGCACAACAGAGTTGCTACGACGCTGATGACAGGCGTACCTGGCTTTCCTCTTCAGGTTCGGTTAGGCTTAGGTAACAAGATCATGGTACTATGATGATGTTATTCTGAGGTTAAATACAGGCTGAGCACGTGAAGCACTAAAACCCAGTCATAGCTGTGCTAACGGAGGGAAGGAGGGGCTGATTATACCTCTTAAACACTGTAGTGATACCACTCCCTCAGTTAGACAGGTCTGCGTTGATAACAGCTCTGCTTTCTCCTTTTCATCTCATGTTGGATTCCTCACCTGACTGAAAACTGCTTTTGGTGCTCCCTATTTTTTGTGTGTAAGTAATATCTCTTGCTTTAGAGCCACTTTGGGAGCAGAGGGATAAACCCTTAACCCCTTGCCTTGTATTTTAACCCCTCTGCTCTGCTCCCACCCTTTCGGGTTCCCTTGAGCCTGATGGTAGAGTTAGGAGAGGTAGTTCCTGGCTGGCGTACTGTAAACTGTGCTTAGCAGCTTTTTCCTTTCATACCATCTCCTCTCGACCTCTTCATTATGCAGATTTGCCTTTCTCTAAGGTATGTCTCACTTTGGTGTTCTCTTTAAACGCTGAGTTTGTAACTTTTTTGGCTGGTGTTTATTTTAGGACAGGCCTTAGAGTGGGACTTTGCTGCTCAGCACACCTTGGCCATACATGTCAAATATACTATCATACTCAACTGGAATCTGTTCATGTAGACTAGATATGAAGTTCATTTTTAAACTCTAGAGGTTTAAGAGAACCTTTGTGTTTTTTACTTCGTACTAGAATGCATCTTTGGCACCCTAATTAATCCTCTAAATATAAAAAATGGTATTGAATACTTTATCTTGCTTGTTTTCAGCTCAAAGTATTAAAAAACCCTGGTGATAATCAGCTTGTCGATGGGAGATTTTTGCTTGGTCGTGTATTTGAACTGGCCCTATTGGTTTTAACACACTGTTGCCAAGGAAGGGTCACTGAGTAACCAAAAGAGTGGCTATGACAGGCTGCATGAGTCAACTTTTACAACTTTGAATCCTCTGATGTCAGCGCACATGGGCTTTGGACCGATTGCGAAAGAGTGGTAACTTTTTTTTTTTTTGTGGGGGTTTGCAAGCTGAATGCATGATGAGAAGAACGTTACTTCCCAAGAGTACATGATGACAAGCACGTCACTGTCTGGGACGGAGCTGAATAGTTTTAATTCCTTTTTGTTTACACTGAAAAAGAGGAAGTTGTTGATATTTTTGATTCTGATTGTTTCACTATCAAAAAGCATCTGTCCATCTATCTGCTTCAAGGAAAGGTTTTCTTTAACATCTTTTTAGATGCCTTTGCAGATGGCTTCTTTTGAAACTCCAAAATTGTTTTATTTGTTGACGATTTCTTGCTTTGACCAGCAGACACTAATTTCAGCCATTTTATCTGTAGGAACTAGAATATGTTAGATTGCCGCTTTGAATTTTCATTAATATTTAATTTTTTTGTCTTAAAACAAAGAAAATGTTGATCTTGAATGCTGCCAACATTTCCAGGTTTTCATGTCAGTTGGAGGTCAAAAGCTGGAAGCGTCAAAACAGATCAGCTTTTCTGGGCTCAGTTAGGTTTCCTGTTATCTGTTCTCTCCCTCCTGTTTCGTTAATAAACAGCAGACACGTCTCAGGCTGTCAGAAATTGTTTTCTTAGTCATAAATGCAGTTCCCTAAAATGGCTAAACCAGTGTCTAAGCCAAAGTGCTTTTGTGGGAGTTCCATAGGTATGATCTGTTTTTTAAATACAAAAAGGTTGAATTTGGTGTGTTTCTGACTGCCAAGGCTCTAGTCAGAAGAATCAAGTTGGGGAATACTGACATTCTGGTCCCTCTTTGTTTGCACAAACTTCAGTCATATATGCTGTTTGTGATTGTAAATCACAAAGTTTTGTATTTCAAATAGTTTTTCTGCCTTTGAATCAAATTTTCCAATCATTTATTTTTTTGTGCATTTATAGAAGTTGTATTTTTTTCACAAAAGCTACAGTTCAAAATTTGATCTTCGAACACATTATAGGAGAAAGGTTGTTTATGTTCCACCTGAGCAACAGAAGTGGGTCCTCCATCTTTAGCGCTATGCTCGCTAGACCTCCAGCTCCGTAACTGGCGGCCATAACTGCTAAACCCATCTGTTCTGTTATTGGGTATTAATTTGTAATTGACATGACCCCAACCAATCAGCTGAGAAGAAACATTTGTCAAAATTTGAACTCATAATTTGAAGTTTTACACATATATATCTGCTTTGAATCTGTAAATTCTTTTACACACTTATTCTTATCTACGGATGAGCAAAGATAACATTTCAGACATTATGGTGTCCACTGTGGAAAAACACAATACTCACAAGCATATCTTCTGGTTCTTAAATGCTAAATATATAACTGACTTTTGCGCTCACTCGTCTGGAATAATTATTTAATTGTACCAGCTTCTATTTTCCTCTTTAGATGATAAATAAGAAAAGATCAGGTCATATTTATCCATATACTTTGATACGATCATTTTAGACTAGACAGATTTTGTCATTCTGTTTACACAAGTGTAAAACAAAAAGAAATTTCATTTGGAAACAGCTCACTGGACAATTTGATCTTTTTAAAAGTGCAGCCTTGAACAATAGTAAAAATGACTGTAAATTTACAGTTCTAACAATTTTTCCTTTTTTTTTCCTGATGTAAAGTTTAAGAGAGAGTTAAAGATAAGTATGTATTTATTTGTTTTTATTTTGTTTTATAGATGCTTTATTGGCGGACCTTGAGTCCTCAACCTCCCACATTTCCAAGCACCCGGTTTTCCTGTCTGACGACGACGCTTACTCCATCCCTGTTGGGGGTCAGAACCAGCAAGACATCAGCTCTCCATCTCAAGAGAGAAGTCTGAATGGAGTAGATGAATCAGAGGTAAGTGAAAGCGGACTTTGGTTGACCCTGTGTAAGTTCAAGGTGGTTTAAATGCTCATTGTTTGGTGAAGGAAGTGGCTTTCCTGAGGAACTGAGAGTAAATTAGTCAAGTTGTTGACCAATAATTTAAAACTGACTTTAATCTTATGATCCAGTCCTTCAGCTCAGCTCCGAAAAGCCCCTGGTCTAGAGAAAGCAGCAGTCCAAAACAACAAGCCGGTGAAGAGGACCACGTTTACAGGTTAGTGTGACCAACAACTGGGATTTATTAGCTCTTTTAGATGGAAGAGAGAAGTAGAGATCCCCCAATTATGATATCACTGATTTAATCCATGATAAAGAACTAAGGTAGAAAAGTAAAACTATATATTTTTTTCTGCAGGTGTAGGAAATAAGTAATATGTTTGTTTTTGTTTTTTTGTCACCATGGTGCAGTTTTCCTAACAAGCAGAAGAACAGAGAGTCATCATCATCATCACCGGCTGCCATGAATTCATTGCTGGGCAGCAACCTGTCTGAGCTGGACCGCCTCCTGTTGGAGCTCAACGCCGTCCAGCAGAGCACCCCTGCCTTCCCCACAGAAGGTGCTTTAATAGTTTCTCTGTAGGGGTGGACATGTCACCGTTTAAATTTAGCACTTCTATTTCTGTGGTTGGGTGATCTTGGTTCCTGTGCTTTCCTGTGTTTTGCCTGTTTTCTTGTTCTTTTACGTTCAAATCAGCTTTTAGTGTACATAAAAGATTAAAATTAGCCTTTTTTCATATATTTTAAGAAGTAGCTCCACCACTTCCTGCAAGCAGCACCATCCGCCACATCCAGGAGAATGGACTCTCCGCTCCAGTTAAACCCCCTCATTCTAACCTGGATAACCCGAAGCACACTGTAGACGCACGGCCGAGTGTGGAGAGCCTTCTGGATGAGCTTGAGAGCTCTGTACCCACTCCCATGTAAGAAGAAAGACATTTGAGACTTGTTACAGTTAAATAAAATAAGCCTTTCAGTGGATTTTTGTATTTTGTTTTAGTCCCACACCCTTGGTGGTCTCAGATGAGCCTAATGACGGACAAGCGGAGGCCTTTTCTCAGCAACAAGCCAGAATGTCTGCATCCTCTGCCACACGAGAGCTGGATGAGCTCATGGCTTCTCTGTCTGACTTCAAAGTCCAAAGCAATGTGAGTGGGGTACAAAAGTGGGCCGAGTGGCTGAGATTTTCACACTTAACCACAGCTAGGTATTTTAAGCTTTGACGGCTTCTTCATGTGTTCTCTTATGCCATTTGGGTCATACAGTTTTCTTTAGTGCCTTATCTTGCTCTTGTGGCATGCAGATCTAAAGTTTTGTACCATTTTTCCATTTCCTTCACCAGCAGTTAACTATAAAGTAATAAAATCTAACCGTAAGGTTTACAGAGGTGTTGCTGTAGTGACTGCCTTTGACTATGTCTTGTACCAGTAGGTTATTTTTAACTTAAATACCTGTATGTATATAAGTTTGGACTTGAATCTAATGATAATTGTGAAACACCTTGTCAAGTTTATAACCTTTGAATCTTGATAACATTTTATCACATTGGCACGGCTCACTGATTATGACCATTCAGCCAAACTGACAGGCCAAAAACATAGGCTAAAAAAAATACTTCAGACTTAGAGGGTGTTCCCTTTTTTTTTCACCAAAACAATTGCTAAATATGATACCTGAGCTAGAGCAGGAGGTTGTCTTTAAAGTGACAAAATGTAAATAATTTCAATGATACCTTATTTCTGGTCTCAATTATGTGACCTTTGTATTTCCATGGTCCACTTTATAAGGTGCTGCAACTGCATTTGTATTACATCTATACTTATCATTTGATTCTTCTTCTGTAAATACCCTTTCTATGTCTTTCCTCTCTTTATTTCCTTCAATTCATTCCCTATTATTTTGGCCTTATTTTGGTTTCTCTATCACTGTCTGTTCTCTGTTTGTTCATGGCCTTCATCACATCACTGTCTCCACGACTCAGTCCAGCTCTCAGTTGTCTGTCAATGAGGACTCTGGTGACCCATTTTTGGGTGCTGGATCACCCGTCACCCAAGCTGTCGTTGGTCCATCTATATCTGCTCAGGATACTCCCCGACCTTTGAGCTCTACTTCGCCGTCCTCAACGCCTCTTTCATTGGAACTTCACATAGATGAGGATGGTTACTCAGTGGGCTCATCTTCATGTTCAACTGTAATAGTAAAATCTTCCAAGAGCCTTCAGTTCTCCCAAGTCCAACAGAAAGATGAGGATACAACTGTTACGTCCGAAGTCTCACATTTGGAGAGCTTTAGTGTCTCAAGTGCTTTGAAGCCTCAAACCCAAACTGATATAAGCAGTTCTGTTCATACTTCTCTAACTAAAAGTTCTGCATGTAAAGACTCTGCTGCAAGGAGTTCCAGTCCAGTCATTGTGCCAAAGAGTCCAGTGACTGAATCTAAAACCCCGAGTCCCAGTAAATCAAAAATCCTCAGTCCTGCTGACATAAAGTCTAAAAGTCTGTACTCTAAAAGTCTTAGTCCTCCACAGGTTACAAATAGTGAAAGTCCAGTAGTAGTACCCACTCTGTTTGAAGCAGTACCAAGAACATCTAGTCCAATAACCGTTCCTAGGCTCTCAAGTCCAGTTCCGAAAGCAGCAAGTCCATTGGCCGTCCCTGCTCTCTCTAGTCCACTACCTATCCAGAGGAGTGCTAGTCCTGACATAGCTGGACGAAGTTCTAGTCCTGTGACTATTCCGATACTTTGTAGTCCTATTCCAAAGACTGCAAGTCCTCTGACTCTTTCCCACAACTCCCCTTCACTAGTCTTACCTAAGAGCTCTGGGATTGAAGCCATCCCAAGAAATTCCTCTCCTTTAACACTTCCTAGGCTTTCAAGTCCAGTAACCGTTCCAAAGAGCGAAACTTGGGTTCCTAAGGGTAGTCCTCTGGTCTTTAGGAAAACACTCACTACTTCAGGCACCAGTAGTCCCAGAGCTTCTCCAGTTTCTCATGCTACCGTACCAGTGAATGCCCCATATTCCCAAGAAAATACAGGGGATGTTTTGGATTTAACTTGGCCTTGCCGAGAACCTGTACTGGATGATGCCTTGGATAAGATCCTCACTGCTGGTTCTAATAGCCTGACTGAAAATCAGCCTCCCACCTGTGTTTTACCTGGTGATGAAGACAAATCCTGGGAGGAAGAGGATGGACTTTTTCCTGAATTTAGCAGAGAGGGAACCTTGACACCCATGACGGAGTCCAGCTGGATGGATGAGTGCTTCACCCCCTCTTCCTGCCCCGGGACCCCAGATGCAACACTGGACCTACCAACACAGCAGCCCTCCGCAGTTGATCGACTGTCTGCGTCTGGTCAAGTAGGCATCTCGACTCACCCAAAACAAGCTGCTGGCATGAAGTTGTATCCAATTTTAAACTAGTGCACCGTTTTTATAACTTTGCCTCATATTCTAAAAATGTATACCCTTAAGTTAGGAATAAAAGCTTATTTTGAGTGAGCTTTGTGTTCATGTCTTGAGAATGTTGTGAAATGGCACAAACTTGTCTTAGAGATTCCTCATCCCCTGCAGTGTGATGCATGTTGTGTCATACAGCTATCACAGAATGGCTTGAGGGGGAAGAATTCTTTGCAGAGAACTTTTTGTTTTGGCTGATGTTGAAAGCTTGTCGATGCACGTCTGCGCTTGCTCTTCTTTGACGCAAGTCTGTTTCTAATGCTGCTTTTTAATCACTGGTAGTTCAGGTAAAGGTAGATGCTAAGAGATGCTGGTCATGCTCATGGATTCTTGAATGCTTGGCCTTTCGCCAGCACCTTTATTCTTGAAAATTTCCAACCTGCTGCTCACTGGTCAGAAAGCTTTAAGGCTAAAACAATGGCTAGCCTGTTGGCCAGCTGATTTCTCAGTACACCTCTACCTTTAATGGTCCAGCATGCCTTAGCTTAAATTTGCTAGTAAAGACTTAAATTTAAGGTGGCAGTGTTGTGGCTCAAACAGGTCCCTAAACTTTTGAATGGAAAGCGTTTTAGTAGATATAATTAGAAGCAAGTGCTCGTTTTTCTGTAACTGGACGTGTTAAGCTTGCAATGAAAGATGGGATTTACTGATACCTGGCATGATCCTGGCTTTCCAAAACACCTTATCCTCCACTCTCCAGCTCAAGTCGGTTATTCGCCGCACCAAAGAGACGTCCAACGTACATCCGATGTACAGGGAGGGATTGCTCAGACGTAAGATGGGACCAATAATTGTCAATAAAAGCAACTCTCAAGATCGACTAATAGAGGAGCTGCAGGGAAAGCTGGGGATCGGGCGAGTGGAGCGCAGGCGGAAACAACAGCCGGATGACTGGCTGACAGAGGGAGTCATTGTTATGTCCAACCCACAACGAACACGGGAGGAAGGGATCCAGCCATCTGTGGATAAGGTAGACGGACAGCAAGGATCTGTATCAGTACCACGTTCGGTCAAATTGGACGTTAGGGTTTTTACATCTTTAACTTCCTTTATGTTGCTTTTTTCAATCTATCTGCATTCCTGCTTTTTTGTGTCTTTTTCCTTTTTCCTTCTTTCCCACCAGATCATTATCCCACCCGAATCACCTGCCCCACAGAGAAAAGTCCTCCCACCTCCACAGTCTCCCCCAGCACCCAAAAAGCCCCCACCGGTCCACCAGACACCCCCACCTCTACCTCCACCACCTCCAACACCCCCTCCTCCTCGGGAGCCGACTCCTCCACCCCCCAAGGAGCCGACTCCTCCGCCACCCAGGGAGCCCACGCCTCCCCAGGTCTTACCTCCTCCATCACCTAGTCCCCCGCCCAAGCCCGTCACACCACCTCCACCCCCCAAGGTCTTTGTATCAGTGGGCTGTCAGACAGAATACGACCCTGTCTTCCCTCCATTGCAGGCATGGATCACCTCTCATACTTTCTCTCAACTTTATTTACTTTTGCACTTTGTTTCTGCAGATTTGTTTTCCAACTTCTGCTCCGTTGTTTGACCTGAAGTCAAGCATTGTCAGAAATCCAGCCGGTTATGTTACAACTGGTTGTGACGCCTTGCGTAGAGGGACTAAGCCCATTTTCTAATTCTGACATCCGACGGCGCCAAGAGCTGTGTGTTTGGTGTTGAGGGGAGAATTTAAGAGCTTAGGGGAAAGCAGACAGTAACGCTCTCATTGCAAAGTTCCCATTGCACTAAGTGTCCAGCCACGCTTGGGAATGGTAGGCGTGCAGTGCAACGGAAACCTAATCTGCCACATGACAGCACAGTTACCATCACATTTATAGCAGGATTTAAGTCAACAGGTCCCGTGACTTTAGGCTGACTGAAGTGAAAGACCCATGTTAGTCCAATCAACCTTCACTGATGTTGTTTGTGTGTACATCTGGTTGTGAATCAATCCCAGTAGATTTTATACTGCTTCGGAATCAGAAGAAAGGAGGAGGTCATTTGTGTAAAAGGGAATCCATGGTGTAAAGGTGCTATTTTCTCTCTCAGAGGAATGTGGGAGTCTTGAAGATCCAATAACCACAACATCTGAGAAGGTCTGAGTTTGCTAACACTGCAGCAGCCAAACACACACATATCCATGTCTTAAATACAAATAGAGGACCTTCCATTCATTTTCTTCTCTTTCTACAGCCTAACCATGAAACTTAACATAAACCTAAGCCAACAAAGGAAGGACCAGTAAAACGTCCTCCCTTTACACCCAAGTTCTCACTTTGCTATTAAAATGCACCATAAATGTCCTCACTTTGCAGCAGGTACAAGTACACACATATCATAGAGTCCTCATAAACGATGTTGCACAGCAGCCATATTTGATGATGAACCCAAGTTGCTCTGAGCATGTACTCTAACTGCTGGAAATCCTGCTTTATTTCAGACCGGGAACATGGACAGTCTGACCTTAGAGCACAAATAAAGCACACTTTATACAGAAGTGTTCAAAAAATCTTTCTCCTGTCTTTTTTTTTTTTTTTTTTCTTAAATAAATGTCCACTTTCTGGTTTTGTTAGATCCAGTCACAGGGAAAGGCCTCAAACTCTGCTCCAGCAAAACCAGCCAACAAGTTGGACAACATGTTGGGAAGCCTGCAGTCTGACCTCAACAGACTCGGAGTCCAGACCAGTGCTAAGGGAGTCTGCGGTGCTTGCAAGAAACCGATTGCTGGACAGGTAACGACAGAAACGTCTAGATTACCATTAAGCAATATTCTCCAATATAGCAGAACAATGAAACTCAATAATGAGCAGTTTACCATCATTATAGAAAAATATGTACTTTCCCCTGCAAAATTATGTTGGTTTTCAAAATTAAAGATTTATCGTTTTTACCTATTTTTTTTTTAGGCGTATACATGTCAACCAAGAGCTAAATGTCTCTTAGTTATCTTTGTTGGTCACATTTCCCGAAATAAGAACTGGATATAATTGTGGTAAAAGCTGACATTATGCCTATTTGCTGATATATACTAGCATACTGACATCCAGTAAGCTAATAAGACCACCATGGTGAAAATACACGTTTTATTCGGCATTTTTAAAGGGTTATAGTGGATATCCATCATCAACGCCTCTCCCATGTCATAGTTCTCTGACAGCTTTTGTTTATTTGCAATATTTGCATTCTCTACTTTATTAAAATGCTGCTTCACAGTTGTAAAAACAAACAAATCTCTCTCTTGGCCTACATCAGTTTTTAAAGCAGCCTTTTCTCTGGTTGTAGATTATATAGCTTACCTTTAAGGTTTAATTAGCATTTCCAAAAAGTGCTGCTTTGAATTTGAACATTTTAATAAACAGCTGCTCCCGCCTGCAGTAATCCTCTCACCCAGCTCTGTGGCTCAGCTTTTCTTTTGCCGAGCAAGCTCATCACATTTTAATGCGGCGTGTCTCCCCACACCAGGTGGTGACTGCCATGGGCAGAACGTGGCACCCGGAGCACTTTGTGTGCACCCACTGCCAGGAAGAGATAGGCTCCAGGAACTTCTTTGAGCGTGACGGACTGCCTTACTGTGAGAAAGACTACCACAACCTGTTCTCCCCGCGATGCCACTACTGTAATGGACCCATCCTGGATGTTAGTAATACACACACCCACCCACACACAAACATATACACACACACACACAGATACAATGAACAGGCAGAAAATAATGATAACTTATTCATAAGCTGATATATTAGGGCATTAGTGGAAAACCAGTAAATGATGGAAGTAACTTCTTGTCCTTCTAGTAAGGTCAATCCAGGAAGGTGCTAAAATATGGTAACCCCAACTTTTCTTCCTTGTGTGAAATATCCAGTAGTTCTCTAAATATCATTTATTAAGAAAAATATAAAATTGCACTATTGTAGAAGTCTGTTGGTGCACAATTCTGGGGCCTTTAGATATTTTACTTTTTGTCACATAACCAGCTTTTAATATTTTTTATGGGGTATTTGATAGATAAATAGAGAATAGTGCATAATCTCTTAAGTTTTTTTATTATTATATAAAGTGTGTTGTTCATTTGTATTTTGTCTCACCGAGTCAACATTTGTAGAACCAGCTTTCTACAAGTTTTTTTTAGGTTTTTCTCTGTTTCTTTTTTTGCTAAATCTGTAACACAAAATAAGTTGAGTCAGACTGGATTGAGAGTAGGGCTGAACGATATAGCCAAAACTTATACCCTGGTCTAGTTCTTGATATAATATCATTTCAATATCGATATAAACAAAATGTCTGTCGTGGTGAAGAGAGAGCTGAGCGAAAAGACAAAGCTCTCAATTTACCGGTCTGTCTACGTTCCTACCCTCACCTATGGTCATGAAATCTGGATCATGACCGAAAGAACGAGATCCCGCATACAAGCGGCTGAAAAGAGCTTTGTCCGCAGGGTGGCTGGGCTCTCCCTTAGAGATAGGGTGAGGCTCAGTGTAGAGCCTGTTCTCCTCCACATCGAGAGGAGTCAGTTGAGGTGGCTCGGACATCTTCTTCGGATGCCCCCTGAACGCCTCCCTCGGGAGGTGTTCCAGGCACGTCCCACTGGGAGGAGGCCCAGGGGACGACCCAGGACACGCTGGAGAGACTATGTCTCTCGGCTGGCCTGGGAGCGCCTAGGGCTTCCCCCAACAGAGCTGGAGGAGGTGTCTGCGGAGAGGGAAGTCTGGGAGTCTCTGCTTAGTCTGCTGCCCCCGCAACTCGGTTCCGGATAAAGTGGGAGACGACGAGTACGAGTACAAAATGAAAGCCAGGGCCAAATAGAGGGGCAGGATTCAGCCTATGGACTTTGAGTTTGACAAGCGCTTAAGATGGTTTGCCAAGGCCTGATAGATTTGCAGTTAATTCTATAAACTCTTCCTCTCTGGGCCATAAATTGATCAGTTCTCTGTTATCAAGCATTCAAAGCTTGAGATTTTGATTTATAACTGCTTTAGCTTTTCAACATTTTCATTTTTGACTTGTCTGGGGTTTTCTCCTGGTCTCCATGATGCTGTTTCTAAAGATCAGTGTCTGTGAAATTACTCCCAGGTGGACTCTCCCTCCTAATTAGATGCCCTGAAAAATACTGGAATGTCTAGGCTTTATTTTGGGGCGTCGTATTAAAGGGAGCGGAAAACAAATGCTAACCACACTTTGCAGCATCCAAATAAAATGCGCTGAATTTTTTGGTTGCAACTTTCCTTATGCCTGTTACAGTTTTGTAATAATAGGTTATTAAGTTCAAACTCTCAACAAAGACGTAAGCAGGTCAGTTTTTCCACTAAGCTGACCATAGCTGATACTGACAGACTAATTCATATGTCCGCGTCACTGCATGTTCCTCTCTTGTCTCACTTGTCAGCACTCAGTCTTATCATCGTGGTGACGTGCTCCCTTTGGGTGGTTCTTTTTTGTTCAGTCACTTCTCTCTTTGGCGCGCACACACAATCATGCAGACAGAGAGGTTGCCAGAGGTGTTTGCAGAGAAGCAGGCTGAGGATGGTGGACTGCAGCCTGCAGGAAGGTCGACATGAGTCAGTGCTACGGCTTCCTTAGGCGCTGTTTGACTTCCTTATTTAAAGTATCACTTGTTTACTTTGAATGCCACTCAGATTTTTGACTAGTAAAAAGAAAAAGTTGCATCCAACATGCCTCTATTATTATTCAGAATTACATTAGTTAGAAATAGCACAATGTGCTCTCTTGCTCCTCCTGGTGGAGGAGTTTGAATCCCTTAAAATGACCTTAAAACTATTTTTTAAAACTGTTATTTATTGTCTCTGCACTGCAGAAACTTTACATATAAAGATGTTTTTTAGCCATAATGTGCTGCTCAGAGGCAGTCAGGACTATAGGATACGCTGCCTGTCTTTTTGTTGTTGAACCTTTTCTGCCCTCTGCTGGCCTAAGTGATAGTTTCTCCTACCATCACATACAAGCATGCTTAGTTACTTCCAATTTAAACTTTTTTATAGATCTACAGGTCGTGACCTTTTGCTTTTTTGATTTTACAGAAAGTAGTGACTGCTTTGGACAAGACCTGGCATCCGGAGCACTTCTTCTGTGCTCAGTGTGGATCCTTTTTTGGACCAGAAGGTAAGCGCCACACCCACAGACAGCTGTTACTGTTAAAGATGCACTTGGTGTTTTCGCTGAGTTTTTTTTTGTTTTTTTCCTTTGCTGCTGCCTAGGTTTCCATGAAAAGGATGGAAAGGCGTTCTGCAGAAAGGACTACTTTGACATGTTTGCTCCTAAATGTGGCGGCTGTTCCCGGGCCATCCTGGAGAACTACATCTCTGCCCTCAACTCGCTCTGGCACCCTGAATGCTTCGTCTGCAGGGTGAGAAACTGGCCAAACAAATAACACTTAAAGACCCCTCAGATAAACATGATGATTCTGTTATGTTAATGAGTCCAACAGACATTTGTATTCGTAGCTGTTAGAGCTCTTAAACTTCGCTGCGTTTTTGACTTTACAACCAAAAACTTGTGCATGTTATTGGGATAATAAGATTGACATAAAGTGATACTAAACTGTGTGATGAAAAGAAAATATTCAATAGAAATACGTGGGAATAGTTCTAGCAGGGTTTCCGCGGGTCATTAAAAATCATTAAAAGTCATTAAATTATTTTTTTTTTTATATTAAGGCCTTAAAGGAATAGTACACCCAAAACATGATTAGCCTTCATTTTCTACTCACCCCCATGCTGAACAACACTCTGGAGTACTTTTATATCTCAAATGCATTTCTTCTTCTACGCTTGCATTATCGGCAGAGCAGACGCTGAATGCGCACTTTCATCTGGTTTGGTCTGCCGCGGTTTCCGTAGACTCGTGAACGTTTAATTGGAATTAAAATTCATTAAATGTGATTATCATGGGATTTAAAATGCTTTATAAAAAAAAAAAAAACAATTTCATCAGATATATATCAGATAATACTTTTTCCGCGTGTTTGCGCAGAACTGCTTGTGATTGATCGAAAAGCCGTATGTTCGGAAAAGAAGCTCGAGGCGGAGAAAAGGCTAGAGAATGTGGAAAATTAAAATTTTAACTGTAGTGGTGTTGGAAGTAGAACTGCACCCAGAACGGAATCACCACAGTGAACCATGGTGGTGGCAGCATCATTCTGTGGGGACAGGAAGCTGCTCAGAGTTCATTGAAAGAAAAATGAAGGAGGACAACACAGATTTGTTAGGAAGCAGCTACTAAAGATTAAGATTGAAGCAGAGATTCTTGCAGGACAGTGAGTCTAACACACCCAGCGCTACAACTGAGGGATTTAGATGAGTGATTGCAGTTTTTTCGGATGCTATCTAGATCTGCAATCTAGATTTTTTTTTCTTCATTTATTTATTTGTTTTTAATTACTGACAATGTCAGCTGATATGAGGTCACACTACCCTTAGTGTCCATATGGAAATAAAATATTGAGCAAAAACTCAGAAACAATGCAAAAAGATTTAAGAGACGCCACAGGAGGCAGTTCTATGAAATATAAATTAAAAGTTTAGATCATAAATATTGCAGAGGTAGATGAGTTTTACGTGGATGAATCGACTGATCCCCAATCACCCAAAATGAAAGAAATCGAGGCTATTTGATCCGTGTGCCCCTAGTTTAGATCAAAGCATATCCCTTAGTTAGAATGAATCAGTCCATATCCAAACCCTGAAAAAAAAAGTTGGAGCTGTTATAAAGGGAACAGCAAGAAAAGGGGCCTCTATCTTTACAAGCCATCTGAGGAAATCCCTAAAAGTCAAATAGGGATTCCCCCAAGTGCTGTTTCAGGCAGAATTGATGGAAAACACGCATGACGTTTTATTTTCTCTCCTCTCTCAGATCTGTATTTCCTCAAATCCTAATACAGGACAGTGGAGTTTGTGTCGGTAACTTGAGAAATTGTAAATAATTTTTTGGTTTTCCAGGAACTGTGTCATAGGGGAGTTTGGTTATAAGGCCTGTCCTGATGGGTTTCTTCTGCTTGTGTTTCAGATAGGTGCTTGTTGGGTCCTGGGGGTGGGATCAGGAAGATATTGTGTAGTTCCACCTTAAAACATTTTAACACTGAAAGTAAGCCAGTTATCTGCTCTGTTTTTTAGGAGTGCTTCACGCCATTCATAAACGGCAGCTTCTTCGACCACGACGGCCAGCCGTACTGCGAGTCCCATTACCACGAGCACCGTGGCTCCATGTGCTCCGGCTGCCAGAAACCCATCACTGGCCGTTGCATCACAGCCATGGGCAAGAAGTTCCACCCGGAGCACTTTGTCTGCGCTTTCTGCCTCAAGCAGCTGAACAAGGGCACCTTCAAAGAGCAGAACGACAAGCCGTACTGCCACGGCTGCTTCATCAAACTCTTCAGTTAGACCGCATGTCTGCTGTATGTGCAATGAGTGTTTGTACGAATGCACCATGTCTGTGGGCATCGCTCAGATTTTTCAATACATCATAAGGAGGGTAGAAATGTTTCTATCAGAGATGACACTGAAAGGGATCTCCCTGGATTTGCCAACTTTTACCTTCAGATAAAGACCTTTTAATGGAGCCCAAAGAGATTTTTATTTCAGTTTTTGTTCCTAAATGTGACAAAAGCAAGAAAGAAACATGTTATGATCTCCTTGTTTGTGTGTAAACGACGAGTTTTGATTGTAAAGTATTTTCCCCATTCAGCAGGGCAAGCCCTAGCATCACACAGCCGTCTGTCGTCTGTGTGACAGTTTTCTGCAGATCTGAGACAGCTGCTTGATTGCATGGACCACTGGGAGTAAAGAGTTTTAAAATACTATCAGCGTTTGTTTCAACACTGAGTGCTATGAAAATGTATTTTTCTAACTTTGAAAACTTCTGAGGTGCCATTTGGAATAACTGAACCACTTTTCTATATGTAAATCTTCACAGACACACGTTTTACTTGCTTCTCTAGCCTAGACTGGTTTTTTAATTTAAGCCTTAAAGCTCGCGTTCTGATCATGGTTAAATGTTTTATATGTTGATGTCAATTACTTCTTATTTTTCTACAGATTTCATTTAAAAACAAGTATTTTTTTTTTCATTTTCAGCACACATTTCACTTTGATTTTTAGAAAAGATGCACCGATTAGGATTTTCCAGGCCAATGCAAATTACCAAGTGGCTGATTTTGATTTAATTTTATTCTAAGGACATTAAAGAAATGATGAAAATGAAGCGGTAACAAGATTGTACACATTAGTCAAAGCATTAACCGTACTTGCACTGATCCTCTGGTGCAGTGTTTGAAATCGTTCCTTACATTTTTTTACAACCAGCTTACTGAAAATTGTTAATAATTTTTTATAAAAACATTGAAGCAAACTCTGCGTCCCTAAGCTCAAACTAACTCCTATTTTTGACCGTAAATATTTAACATTACATCTTTTATGGACAAATTTGGGGACAGATACTTTAAGTCGCATCGGTTTGTTCATTTCAGGTTAGGTTCAAAAGAACTTCTACTATATTTATTTTTACTTAATGCAATCATACAAAATTCTATATTCTATAAATAAAAGCTTGGTTGACAGATCAGGCTTTAAAGGAAACCTGAAATCAGCATCATTCTGGAAAATCCTGATTGCTCATCTCTTCCTCTAATCTTCTTTTTTTCTTACAAAAATAGCACTAAGGTTTTGCATTTATGGATGGAAAATGGTTTGGATCTTTATTTTATGTTTGTCCTGCTGATCATGAAATCAACCATCTGTGTATCTTTTTTAGCTCACTTATTTCCAGAAGATCTGCTGAGTTTCCCTTTATTTTAATTTGACTACAGCCATAGTGCTGTGTGGTACTACAATCATAACTATATAAAACTTTTTTTACATAAATAAAAAAAAGATATCAGGTCAGATACCAATGCTGCATATAATATGGTTTGGTATGTTTTTAAATTGCAGGTAAAACCACCTGAAATAGTTTTAAAATGTATATGTTACTGCTTTGATTGCAGGTATTAAACTAAAGAGCTATATTTTCGAATATTTTACACTGCAGCTTGCATACATTTATCACCGTTTTAAATGCATCTATAAAACTAGTGAAAGATTGACTTTGGGGTGGTGCGTTTTAAATTTGAAGCATGATCATTTATTTAGAGGTATAAAAGCACCAGCTGCCAGTGTTACAATCGTCTATTTCTACACCTGTAACGTGTTTAAAGCTCCTTTGTTTGATTGAAATGTTTAATTTTAGAGCAGTTAAAGGCTCACTCTGTTAAGCAAAGAGCTGGCTCTGTTAGCATGTAGCCTACTGTAATGATAGTCTCTCATTCCTTCAACACGAACGCAGACACCATGGTTGGTTATCCTGAGGTATCGGTGCAAAGGTCGCCGATGGAAGCTGGATGCTGGTCTTTACTGATCAGGAATCAGAATAAGACCCTAAATCAGGGTCTTTAGAGGAAAATATTCATCTTTATTTCATATATATGGCCTTTGTTTTTTATTTTATAGTGCATCAGCAAGATAACGCCATTGCCTTTAATTTCATATCCTGCAGAAAGTTACACCAACTCCACATTTAAGTTGATTTTAAGTGTTTTCCTTGTGCCAAACGTGTCAATGCAATAACGTCCCAGACACTGTGGAGCTCTCGAGTCTTTCCTGTGATTTTTTTGTGTGTTTTATTTTGGTTGCTGAGCTGAACTCTGGGAGTCGTGCTGCGTTTTAACTGAACTATACACTGTAACAGACGAGCCAGGGAGAAACATGCTATTGCGTAGCATACATTAAAGCATACATATGGGGGTGTGATGGATGCAGAGGGGAGAGAGTGTTGCAGTAAAAGACCCCGGGTTTGCTCATGTTTTATCTCATGTCACAACATGACATAACATTTATGCTTCTGTTGGAGAATTCATGCAAAGAAAAAAATAAAGCTTTTTACTTTAAATGCAAATATGTGAACTTTTTGTAGATGGAGTCGCATTCATGTAGCGTTTGGTATTTGAATTTACTGAGCTATAAATGTGTGTGGGTGATGTGCAAGCCTTTGTGGGTCCTGCTAAATGATTGGTGAACCTTTGCAAATAAAAGGTAAATATTGAATTGGTGGCTTTGTTCCCTTTTTGCTTCTTTAATCATTGTCGCTGGTTGAATGCATTAACCAAATGTTTGCAAATACCAATTTTAACCCCAGTTACTTTTTCACATTGCATTTAGACAGAACAGGTGAAGACTTTGACTTTGTCTTACTTTCAAGGGTGACTTCTACCTCTGAACTTTATTAATCTAGTGGTTAAAATGATCCACAGAGGAACAGTGGATAACCTGAATTAGATTGGCTCTTTAACATCTAACTTTTGGTCTTTTTTTTTTTAAGTAAAAAAAGAAACATCACTGTTGTATTTGTTTGGAGATCTAAAAGATATATTTGTACTTTTTTTAAATAAAGTTGTATTCAGGGGTTGACGTTAAGGATTTTTACCACTTGCCCCTTTGGGCAAGTGACATTCACATTTAATTTGCCCAGAAACAATTTTTACTTGCCCAGTATAATGTTTGATAAATATAGTTCTTAATATTCATTTTTGTATACCGTATATATAAATGAAACATGTTTGTTTTTTAAACGTTTTTTGTAATTCAGTATTTAATTTTACAGGTTCCTGGTGTGTATATGCATGCCTCAGATAATGAACTCAAGCCTACATTACCGTGTTAACATGCCTTTCAATCCTTCCTGCACATTCTTTTCAAACTAAACTTTGCTTTAAACTGTTGTGTGCTTGGGAAAAATACAAATCGTAATGTTAAAAATCTAAAAAAAAAAAAACTTGACAGGTTAAAAACTTAAGATAAATCACAAGATAGAAGTCAATGTCACAAATGAATAACTTATTTTAGAGTCACAGTATGTTTATACAAGATAATACTATTAATAAAATGTGACTTTTCTAGAGAATCATTATACAGTTATTTTATACAGGGTTTCCACAGTCTTACCTAATTTCAGAATTCCCTGACTTTTAACTGACTCAGGATTAGTTTTCCCTGACAAAATAAATTAAACAAGATAATCATAACAGGTCACCAATTTAACATGTTTAGCTCTATAACATTTAAATGCACCTCTCCAATGTCTAAGAGAAAAAAATTAATGAACATTTTTTAATGTATGACCACTGTACTGAAGACTGCCATATGATAGTGCTTTCTAGCTTGTTTGTCGTTTTGGTAACTACATCAAAATTACCGCTAGGTTGACAAAAATCACGCCATCTGGCGGAAAATCTCGCGGCTTTTTCAAATCACGCGAGAATGTGGCAGCCTCATGCATGCACACTTCTTCCTCTCCAGCAGACACAGCAGAACCCATGGTGCTGAATACCTTCCAGGGTTTGCAAAAGAAAAGGAACTGATCAAAACTTACAAAAAACAGTTTAAAGATGGAAAATGCTTTTTATACACTCTGTCCCATTTGAAGTTACTTTAGAAAGAAAACTTGATAAAAGTTTAACACTTTGTCTTTCTACATGAACATATGTTAAAAAGGATGTTTATTGACCAAAACAAATAATTTTGTTTATGTGGAATTTTGATTTTCTTTACTTTTCAAGTACTTTCTCTTTTCCATTCTTGTGATACTTTAATCAGAAATACTATTATTTAATACTATTGAACTTAATCATACAACATTTGGAGAGAAAAGCATTGATAATTTAATAAACATGTTAACATTTCTTTGACATAAATTGCACTTCATATTTTTACCAAAAAAGAAAGGCAAACGAGACTAAAACACATAGAAAAATCCTTTATCACAGAATAAATATCTATTTTTTTCAATAATTTTTAATGGCCAACAATAACCCTCAATGTTTGGACTGAATTTTTATTTTTATTTTAAAACTTTAAAGCAATCTGGCTTTATCTTTAATAGCTTAAAAAAAGAAACCATAATTTCCACCAGAGAACAAAAATGGATGTTAGACCTTTAGTTTTCATTTGTCCTTTGAATTTCAGGATTTGGCACAGTAAGACAAAGCATTAAAGTAAGATTCTTAGACCATATAATGTAATAATTCCAGCTGCACTATAGCAGGAAAAACAAAACAAAAATATAAAAGTCAGCAGGTAAACTGGGGATCAGAACCAAATTAAATAGCAACAGAATGCAAAACAAAATCTCCAGCTATAATGTACATCTTGCTTTAAATGAATTACTGTGTTTTAAGCAACTTTATGATCAGATTAGTTAACTGCAATGAAAAAAAATTATGAAGAGAAAGGTTTAAATATATAAAAGTAGTATGGAAAGGAGAAAATGAAGTAAGGTTGTGAGTTGACCAGAGTCAATCTCTTTCACCATATCCCACATCATGATTTCTGTTTGTTAAAGCAACAAAAAAGGTCCAAAACATGTAGTGCAGGGGTTCAAAGAAACCCAGAGGAGAAATTAATGTTCAAATGAATGTGAAATTATTCTAAAGATTAGAAACATTTTGAATGAAACCGCAAGATTTCAAAACATCAAACACTTGGCAATGCTGAGCTACTGAAAGAAAGGCTACAAATCATAGTAGAGAAACTGTTTAAATGATTTTTTATATTTTATGAATACATGCACATGACATTGGGTCACTTTGTGGATTGGAGGAGGAGACATGAAGTCTGCCGTTGGTCAGAGCCTGAAGCTGGGCAGCTAGATGTGAAAGATCCGGTGAGCTGTCCAGAATCTCCAGGTGCTCCAGGTCTTGAAGCCGGTGGAGATGCAGCAAGTCTTTCTCAGGCACACGGTCACGGCGCAGCTTGAGAGTCCTGAGCTTCG